ATCCACTGAGAAACATCATGCATTTATATAGAACCTTATAAACCGACAACATAACAAACTGGCTTTGAATTGTTGCTCTCCTTAACATTCTGACAAAATTCCTAATAATTTGGCATAAAAATAGAAAAAAAGAAACCTGTAAAATCGACGGAAAGTTTAGTTGTATAGTTATCTACTCGGAACCATTTATACGTTACAATGCCCTATAATAGAATATTTAACGACGGCTGCAATAATGACGGTCATAATTAAATACGGATTTTTTTAGTATTATAGCTTTAAAAGATGCAACCATCTTTTAAAGCTATAATACTAAAAAAATCAAAATATGCTTTGATTGCTAAAGAAAAAAAATAGCTAAAGATGCCCAAATATCGCCTAAAGCTACAATACTAAATCCTCATCCAGTCGAAAATTACCATTATGAGGAATATGTTTATACATTAGAAGCACAAAAAGTAAAACAATTATCAATGCAATTAAAGAACTGTTCAGAAACTGAAATGAACTAAAAAGAAATACGTTATCATCAGTGGAAGTGTTGGCGCACAATTGGAGACTATTTTGCGGAAGGCGAACATCTACTGCCGAGCGGCTTAATGGATCACCACAAACCGTTATTAAAGCTTTCGGCGGATCATCTCTTTCTGAATTAATTTAGAAATCTTACTTGCAAAATTTAATTTAATTTCATTCTTTCCCACCCGATAGCGAGGAAATTTTTCTGAATCAAGATAATGCAATGTGGACAAGCATTTCTTAAAAATAAAAGTAATTGCTTGCACAAATAATGGAAAAATATGTGCGTGATTTATATAATCTAACTTGTAATAAAATTCGAAAATCCTGGAATGTAGAACAAAGACTAACTTGCAGTAACAATTACTTCTGCACGTTTTTCATCAGTAGCTCCCTGTTGATCTTTTACTACTAACCTATAAATTTCAGAATATAAAATCTTAGGATTAGCAAGGAAAGAAAGATGCAAAAAACAAATTAATAGCTTCCACAGCAGCCTGAAAAGAAATGAGATGTAAGCAGGTATGAAAAATAATGAAAAAAGAAGGCTAGGATTTTATCGTTTTATAGTCGGCAATTAATAATCATTAACAGAATTGAATGGTGAGAAAATTATTCTGGATAAAATTTTCAAAAAACTTGCCCAAAGGTATAATTCCCAGTAACAAGATTATCAAGGCGAAGGACAGCTGTGTTCATTGCAGGTAACGAAATTGCCGGACCATTCAGAAGCTTCCATTCGAATTCCAGAGGCTGATCACTATCATCAGAACTACCTGAAGTACTAAAATGCATCTAGCCATGCAAATTAGTGAAATGTACATTATTATTAGTAAGAAAAAGTTGTATGGAACACTTCCTACCGTGTTGCGTATTTAAATGTTCATGTGGTTTTTTACTTCATTAAACTTCCGAAATCGATTTTTTTTCAGGAATTTTGAAAACCCAACTGAAATTTTCTAAATGTTCATATAAAAAAGTACCTTCAGCGTCCAATACTAAGTGGCTTCCTTCATTAACATGAATTTCACTAGAGGGGCGAATTAGCGCTGTAGGAGGTTTGTTGACATGTTTTTCGGTGAGAACTCGGAGCGTTGTATCCTTGAAGCTTTTGCCAGCGGAATTTGCGATAGTCACACGTAAGCGCATCATTCCTTCTTTCAGCTAAACTAAAAAAAATTAACAAACTAGTAGCAAGTTCTATTTTCGACTAGTGACAAATATGCATGTAAAAGATGAATCTAAATAATGTTCCACAAATGAGCGATTAAAAACTGAAAAATTAACCATCTTAACAGTATTTTTCTCTTCCTTACTTTTCTCACCTTTAAACCTGATTAATCTTTAAAAAAGTAAAATTACAAACATACATTTGTGATGATAAGAGTTGGTTCAGTATATGTATTCGCTGCACCAAAACCTCCTCCATCTAGAACCTCCCAATAATAAGTGAAATTTGACTGTTCTTCTGGAAAACATTGTATTTGAGTCCCACTTTTCTATCTTTCAATTATTCAGAATGTCTATCTCAAATGCAATATTTTTTAAATTAACAGAGAGTGATCAAAAAACATAAACTCAAGCACTACAAATAATCTGCTATACAAAATATTTACTTGCAGTCTAAAGTTTTTAAGTCAATTAGTGTAAAACTCTTAAACGGACAATGTCAATCAAAGAGAACGGACACAAATCGACAGGTTTTACATGCTAAATCATACGTTTTCTACTGCTACACAGCTTTTTCTTTCTAGCTCATTTTTTCTCTGAAAATCAAAAATAAAAACATAATAGAAAATACCCTGTGAGTCAATAAATTTTATGGACAATTTGATACTGTCCTGAGGGAGTTGCACAGTTGTTGGACCAACGATTTCAAATTTTGGAGCAAAGATTGACGAATTAGACAGATTGGCAGTGATCGATACCGAAACACAGGAGCCATTACTGACCCGTATAAAATCAGCGATGCAAACACACTTTCCAGTTGTCACCTGTCAGAATATTGACAAAATGTAATTCTGCAGCATCTTTAACTTTCACATTCCTGATGCCAACATGGAAATTTCCTCCTTCTTTGAAAGAAGCGAATTAACCCTAGGAATTCGAACTAGAGTCAAGAATTCGTTTTACACTTTCCAAATAACAACAAGAAGCAAAATCTACCTATAAGTGGAAACTATGAAAAATTGAGCAAAGTTTTAAAAGAAAAGCGTCACCTCGCAAATTTCGTTTCTCACACATTTATTATTACACAAATCGTTTATGGTAGTTTTATTGAACGAATAAGCGATTCCCTGAAATGAAAATGTAAGGCTGAAAGGTTTACGCGCCATTATGAACTAAAGGAACAATAACGATCAATTCTATTACCACTTTATTTCGATCCCTGCGGTATCAGGGTAAAACTCAAACTGCTAATCTATTACAACTACATCAAAGAATTATTTATAGTATATCCTCGCTGAAAATGTATCACCTGTTTATTAGGGTGTATCACAGTTCTTTTCCAAATCCGGTTATCCTTCAACAAATTGAAAGCGATTCTGGCGACACCATAACCTCGAGAATCAAGTAACCAGCAATCGTGCTCGAAACAAGTTATCCAGTACCTAGTTGTTTCATCCCGATCATGATAATGACACGGTAAACTATAACCACATTCTTCCTTACACACAAGCATGCTTACATCCTAGAAATAAAATAAAATTTATTTACATTAGGTTTATCAAGGAAAGATTTAAGTTTCTAACTGTCGACAAGATGCCGCAAGAATATTAAAAATTTATTTTCGGATACCAGTTTTAATTTTTCAATTTTTCATCAATGATCCTCTATTAACCAGTTTTCCTCTCAAAATTCCTAAAATAGAAAGATTACAATTAGATTGACAAAAGAGAAAACTTTTAAAAATAACCAGTTGAAGAACTAATAAAAACTTTTCTGACTATTTCGCAAAAGTAATGAAATGACCGATAGAGTAATGCTCTTCCTATGCAATTTACAGACAATAATTCCCAAATATCCATATCCAAACAAATGCAATAACTAATGTGACATCTAAAATAATACCTTTCTCAAGAAGAAAATATCCTTCCCTACATTCTCGCAATTCGCCACTAAAAAAGTGGTGAAGAACAAGAATGTCAGCCGCATAAAATACATCAAAATTAATTTGCAATGCTCCAAAAATCAGTCGAATTGACTGTATTCAAGTCAATAGAATAAGCATTAAAAAAATCCACTGAAATGGAATTAATATGAATTTCTTGATTTCACATAATGATAGCGAATCATACAAAACAATTGCTTTTAAAAAATCTTTTACATTCGGAAGGAACTTCAATTAATACGTTCAAATGTGAAGTCAGTACCTTCACTAGAACATTAAGGTAACAGATCGAAATAATCTACACTTGTCTCAAGAATATTCCAACAAAATATATATTGATTGAATGCTTCGAGGATGTCTTTAGAGTGACTTTAACTATCGAGAATCTTTATGCCGTTATGCTTCGAGAATGTCTTTAGAGTGACTTCAACTATCAAGAATCTTTATGCCGTTACCTTCGAAGTGCAGAACAATTTGGAGAAACTATAATTTGTAAATTCCTCTATAAAGTGCAGTGAACGATTTTTCTAGTAAAAATTACTGCATTGTGCTCCGAAAACCATAACAAATATCATTCAATTAAAAATCTGTTTAAAACTGAAATCATTCCGATAAAACGTGGTGGAATATTTTAACCCGATAACTTGTAAGGAATAATTATAACACAGAGTATTTATTGAAGCAACACAAAAAAAAAAACAGAATCAAACAACAAATAATGACAAATGCTCAGCATACAACGTGAACAACCTGCTTTAATAAATATTCAGCTTTAATCTAAATATTTCTCAATAATTCATCAAATTAAATTTATTACATATTATTTATAGCAATATTTTTAAAATCTCTGACATATTTTTAACCAGAGAAATTTGATAAAATCTATCATTTGAAAAGCTCATCAATAGTTATTTTTCTCAAAAACTTCCTTCTAAAACTAAATGTCCATTAGAAAACCTATGGCGTTCAATTCCCAACTAAGACTTCGAAAAACAAAGAGAAGGGAGAACTATATGGGTTTTTGAGCAAAACTTATCTTCCTGATCACATAATCACTGTTGATTTCAGGCGCATCATCAGCTATCTTTTTTCTTTGCTCCAACTGTTGTTCCAAGTAACGGAACATATCGATCAATTGTACATGAAACAATAGATTACGTTAATTTAATTAAAAATCTGTACCTCTCATATGATAATCGAAATGACAATGATATGGCCTAACATACAAGCTCATAGCTTATCCTGTTCATTTCATTATGTATAAACTTCATACTTTCAACTTCGAAAAAATATAACTAAATCAACTTCGTAAGCATTTCCTTAAAAGCAGAAATAAAATTAAGTATAGCTTAGAATATGCAAGCTGAGAATTATAAAACTATGTTGTAAAATTATTAATTAATTAATTGATATTAATAATAACTATGCTGTAAAGTAACAAAACTAAAATATCTTAGACTAATGTAGCATTAAGAAATTAGATTACCATAGTTGATGCAAAGCAGGCAGCATCTCGTATTACATTGTGACATTTTTCATCCCAAACAAAACGTTGTGAATGGCTATCAACGAAAACTGCCATAAGTTTTAATATCTAAAAAATTATCAAAATACACAATATCTGCGATGCTCTGTGAGCATTATACATTGTATAAACGTTAAGTGAAATAAATGAAACGACTAAGTTTAGGATTCTCCAACAAATGTCAACTTTCAAAATGAAAAACCTATAAGATGTAATAAGATTTAGTACAATACGATCTCAATATTACTTACAAATCGAAAAATTATTAGAATAAAATCGGCACCTTATCAAATAAATCATCTCTGATCCTATCGCAACCCAGTGATATCAATCGTTCAATAAGAGTCGTAACTTCAATTTCTGTCAATTCCTGTGAAACAATTAGTCGTAAGCCACAACTGTTAATAGGCTTTTCCAATAAAGATAAAAGCAGATTGGAACTCTCCAAAACAGATCTGAAAAAGTTTCACTGCCTGCTCGTTTATTTTGTTAAATAACCTACCAAACTCTTCTAGTAACCACATCACTAACTTCTCGCGATGACAAGCGAACAGGGAGTATTTCAACCACCTCTAGCGGAAAATTATATTTTAAATCAAAAAAAAAGACAAAAAAAACGTTTTCAATGTCTTATCATGGAAAATCAAGAATGAGATAGAAAGTTACACGTACACATTAGAAGACATTTTGAGAAACAGTGTATATGATCGATCATCGAGTACTAATGAAAAACGCAAAAAATCGATTGCTTGTTGCATAAGACTTTTACTAGCTAATAACTCAATGAGTTTACAACATGCTCTGAAAATAACCAATTTAAAATCCTCCATTTGCATGATTAAAATAATTTGAAAATGACTTTGATGAACAAATCTCGGAAGGCAAATTACTTTCACTTTGTAAAGTTTATGTTTTATAAACACTGGTTATGAATAGACGTTATCTTTCATACAAGCATGGATTTGAAAAAGCTAACTATACTTCTCACTTCAAAAAACTGAAACTATTTAGAACTATAAATCCTGCATGATAACAAGTTGCACTGAAAATTTATGGAAATTCATTTAACCGAATAACCGAGATGCTTACAATTACATGTCAGTTATTTCTTCTACATTCAATCTTTTCCAATGATGTAAATACTACAATATCTATGTTCTAAACGTTAAAAGTTAAACGAACTTGGGCTCGGTGATCAGTCTCGAATGAATGAGAAATGTGAGTACCCGGTCGAAAAGTTTTTCATCAACACATCTGCGTAAGACCTTGAGCAACATCATTTGCATATGAGCAGGAAGTGCAATAGGTATATGGGCAGACAAGTCACCGTTTGTCTTCCTGGCTAATTTTGAAAGCTCATTCCAAATATTACTCAAATCCTGCAACTACTTGTATAGTGTTCTATAAACACCAGATGACTAGGATCGCTTTAACAATACTTTCACTCTCGAGAAAAATGAAAAATTTCCATTCCTTAAAAAATATTTCAAACACTTGGAAAACCAACTTCCTGTACTAAACAGTTGGAAATTTTTACAGCGAGAGAATCAAAAGGTTCTGTTTTATGAAGAAAAGATAGTGATGCATAAACGCATACGGAAGGAACGGAATCTTCTGAAGTACCGATGTATAACGAACGTTTAGTCGGCTGTATTCTAAAAAACAATTTTTAAATATTCAAAATTATATCTTAACGAGCTTCAAAAATCCATGAACCTGTGAGCAAAAGATCGAGCAAATCTCTTGCTATTTTTCCGTTCATCCCATTTTATTGATGTGTAATTGCCAAAATCTTCTCACTTGCGTGAGAAAAGTGAGTCCAAAGGAGATAGAGAATCTCTTACAACATGGAACTATTTTTGTAGAGATGCAATAAGGTATTTATAAAAAAAAACTTACATTAAAGGTATTCTAGCAATATTATTGATTCCCCTTAAAACAACGGTCTGCTTTTCATCGATTATGATCTAAAAAAAATTCAATTATAATGACAACATGAAAAAATCTTTTCTCTCCTTAACACACAATTAATTCACATTGAAGAAATATGTTACACATTGTTTCTTTTTCATTCGCTCAGAAACCAAATACATTAACCAAGGACTACAAAACAGCTCGTATTTTATCTAAAAATTTGAAATAAAATTAAAAAAAAGAGACAATTTTCAAAGTTAAAGGAGACAAAACTGAAATCATTTTTACAAACTCTTTCAGCACCAAACAATCACCTTAAATTGACCAATTTCCAGTTAGTTTATTAAGATTTTTATGAGCATCTATCCCTAACACAGTAAGGATATTATAACCAACATGTAACCTGTAGCATAACAGTACAAGAAAAAGTAATAAAAATCTTGAAATTGTTTTAAAAAAATGTGAAGAAATGACGGATAAAGAATAACACAAAACACTTACTTCATTTGGCAGGTACTGTTCTGGCCATAAGAATTTCGTCTTTCCAATAACAGCATGTTCACCCTCCGAGCACAGTCTTACTGTTAACATTTTGAAAGTTTCTAAAATCAACCATTAAATTTACTACTTAACACGAAGCATTTTTTAATTTTTTGGAAATTTCAAATATTAGTAATTGATCAGAAAATAGCTCATGTTATTGAAAATATTTCATTAGAGCTTTTATAATTCTAATAGCGAAATCTAGCATACCTTGATATTTAGCATCTTCTAATGTAGCTTCAACATAAAGGCAATCGTTTACCCAACACTTCAGACAATTTCTCATCTGAAACAGAAATAAGAAGCAGATTAACATAAATATTAAGTGTACAAATTCTGTTTCAATCGGATGATTTTCTCAACTAATATTTTCAGATTTTGATATAACTGTGAGGTGATCATAATCTTCGTGCAACTATACCAATTCATTCTCTCTTTCCTGTGCTATCTCCGCTGTTCATATGATTGTATGTATGGAAATGTTCATTTTATCTGCTACATTCCTAAATTCAGATATGTTTCTTGTTTGAAACACAACACTTAGCATTCTTTGTAAACAATGCTTAGCATTCTTTGTCACAGTGGATTTTCAGCGCCTCTGTTATTAATATTTCCATCAAATCATCGTCCTGCATATTGTGGTGTGTTTACGAGATGGGTAAAATTTTTGTGCTAAATACATGAACACCGCTATATAATCAGACAGTCAATTCAATCACAAGAAGTAAACTGGAAATGCGATAATATAGTTATAATACAGAATCTCGAAGTTATACTGAAAATTTTTGAAATCAAGAATTGTAAAGCTCAATCAGAAATTTCTGAGTTCAAAAGGAATGGGATTTAACCTCAAACCCAACAAACCCACCACTTCGAAATCCCTCGGTTACGCACATCTATAATTTCTCATTGTACCGTATCAGTACGAATTTTACTGCTGTGACGCGCCATGCAATCGACAAATGTCTTCAAGAAGTGGAATGAGTTGGAAGGTGAAGACAGAAAGGGTCGGAATGAACGGAGAGGATTACCATCAACCGCGGTTATTTGAAGTGGTCATAGCATCAGAATTTACGGCACGTACTGACTCTTATGATGATGAGTCATTATTAAATTCCAAAATCTTCAACGATAAAAGCATCTGTGTTATTTATTTGCATTTATTTCATTGTCACATTTTTGCATATCATTACAAGAAAGCATGGGAAGCACTTTTCTTTATTTCTCATTATTATCCTTTTATTTTTGCTGCACTTTTTTTAGCGTCTGATTTTTTACTACCTTTACTTTTTGACTTTCCTTTCGATCCTTTTCGGACCGTTTCTTTTTCCTCTACAGCAGTCTGAAAAAAAACCTTTGAAGTGTTCTATATGTCATTCTATCAAGCTTAAGATAGGAAACTTCATTTTCTGTAATATCTAAGTGAGATTAAGTAAGACAACGTGAGTACATTATAGGCTCTGAATACGCCTCTGGCAACGTGTAAAACGTGGAAAAAAATACAATGAGTGGATACATCATAGACATACGAAGACGAGGCAGAGTAACGGAGAGAGTCTCTAATTATATGTTTTACGATATTATGCTTATGCAACTTAAGAAGTGTGACAGCTATTCAACGTCATCTACAAGATAGGTATGGATTAATTAACTTATAAGCTGCAAACTGACTTCAAAATAAAAATTGATATGGTATTCTGAACAGTTAACCACGACAAAAGTTACCGTGAATACCGGCGGGGGTGGCAACTTTTTCACTTCTTCTTCCAACTCCTTGATTGCTTCAAAAGTTTTTTCAGCAAGGAAATGATAATCTGGTGGCTTTTGAGGATTTGCTAGAATTAGGTTTTACTGCAGCAATAGAAATAAGCTTATAAAAAAATTGATGGAATATTTCATCATTTATGTCTTGTTGTTGTATTCTTTAATATGTAAAATTAATTAGGCATTTAAGCTTAATTCACATATAGAGATGGCAACCTGTATGGAGATATGCATTAATTGCATAAAACTGATGTGGCAATGTTTTCAGGAGATAACGGGCAGGACAATACATTGATTTCAAATATTTATGTGCCTAAATAAATTACAAATACATATACACAACTATGTCCCTGCAATATGCTAATGCTGAATCTAAAAAATCTTGAAGGATAAGAGTATAGTATAAGAATTTTCAAAGGAAATTCGTGTTTATAATGAAATTCATCAATTTAATTTTGAAATCTTCAGATAGTGAATATAAATTATGAAGCAGGAATATTCTCACTTTCATATTATTTCTATACGTCCATGGTAACGGTTGGATGGGTTCACGATCATTTGCAAAAAGCTCACACGTAACATAAAGCCAAGCAATAAGATCATCAAAGCGTGTCTGCTCGCGACCTTTTTGTGCGTGACCACTTGCCCATTCAGGTGTTCCACGGAATGGACAGCACGTCCGTGGCGGTCGTATCTATGATGTAACAAATATTCATGAAACTAACCCAAGAATTGAGCTTAGATTCAGTTTGTCAAATAAAATTTTCAACTGTATTTTGTCATGAAAAGATCTGACACGATACACAAATAGCTAGTATGGTGATCTGATTTTGGACTTTTTATAATTCATTTGATTATTTCAGGCGTTAACTATGAGGTCAACTTTTTTTTGTAACTAAATCGATCAAACTCATAAAAAGTACAAAATCAGAGGTCCAAAAAAAATCGAAATGTATTTTAGGGATAAAATTCATGTAAAGGGGCAATTATCTTCAATTCGTGTCAAATGCCACTTCAATTTATATTGAAAAATATTATAATTGTTAATTTAGGAATCATAATAAATCGTTAATTACTATAATAAAATATTGTTTATGTAGAAGTAGTTTCATGTTGTAACAGATTATCATCTTTCGACTCAGAATTGCTTATTGCATCCAAAATAGCTTATTTCATATATTCCTAATGATTATTTCTATTAAAATTAGAGAGTTCTATTGCATTGATAAAAATGCTTAATTACATCACTTTCTCCATCGGTGTACATCCGAGCCATACCGAGGTCGAAGAGCAGTGCGATCGGTTGTTCTCTTGAAGATAAACCCATATTATCTGGCTTTAAGTCCCGATGCAGAAGTCCTGGATATATTCAAATTATTTAATTCTTTTCCATCTACTTTAAATTGTTTTCTTGACAAAAATTGATAATAAAAATATGAAAGATGAATGAATATGATAATATTAACAAAGTATCCATTATATTTTTTCCGTATTGAAAGATTTTGTCACCACTTCTGACAGATTTTTTTATGTTTCCATTCGTACTTAAATGTTGCATTATGCAAGAATATCTTGAAATAGTCGGAAATAGCAATTTGCTGAGTACCTTGTGCATGCAGATCATAAATTCCTTTTAGCATTTGCAATGAAACATTTGCTGCACGATATTTTCTATGTGCTCCTTCTACCTATGCGACTATTTTATTAAATTATCAATACAGATTAATGAACAAATAAGTTAATGTCGATACAAGAGAAAATAAAAGGCCTGCTGAACGATTTCATTACCTAATTTACCTTCACTTCCTAAATATACCTCGTAAAATCCTGGTTGGTAAAAAAAACATCATCTAACTTACCTCATAAATATAATCCTTGACTGGTACTCCCGCTTTTTCCAGTACCACGAATTCCATACCTTCGCCATGCTGATCCGCAAGCATACCCTTATCTAACAATCGAACGATTGAAGCACTTTCGGACTGAATTTACAGTACTGTATTATTTTGAAGCGAAAGTTTTGAGTTCTTTAAGTTTTTTAAACTTCGGTCCATAGAACTTTAAATTTTGAAAATATATAAGTTTTATTAAAGCAGTATTTTTGAAGTAATTTTGTACAAAAGCTTCAAATCAATTTGCTCTACAGAGTGTTTTATCTGTCTGATCGTTCATGCTACTCTTTCAGTTCCAAAATAACTATGAAATTCGTGGCGTTGGAATAATTGTAAACCTCTTCCACTGATATTTTCAGTTATAATTTCTCTTTTTTCAATGTGAAAAAGAAGAGAAGATTTTCAAGCTGGTTAATTCTACTGCTAAAAAGTGTTTTTTGTGATCCAGTTTTCTCGTCTAAAATACATTTGTGTCTCAAATTGATCTATCTTGTACTCTTGAACATGGCGAATGATAGTCATCATCAACTTATTCATAGGTAACATCAGATATTATACTCTTTTGAACATTGTTTCCAGGATAAATCCTTCCCACTCAGCTGAAACATTGCCAGCTTCATTAGCCATCGATTTAGCCACTTTAATAACACCGTATACTTTCGTGACAACATCACGAACAGAAAATACCACACCATACGTACCCTGATTGATCGTCTCAATTACCTGAATGTAGACCGTAGAATTAATGAAATTTTAGTTTTTCACTTAAAGATTCATTACATTATAAGTGACAATAAAATAAGGCTAACAAATTTTAAGCCTTTCAGCTTTACAAATGTCGCTACATCTTAAAATCTTTTTGTTTACTGTAAATCGTCTATTGAAATGGCTGGATTTCACGGCATATTTACTTGCCAGCGTTTGTTGAATGGTGCAATGAACTTCAGATGCTCAACTAGTTCTTGCACTGCTTGATCTTGCTTTTCCTGATCTTTTTGCCGATCTGTTTCTCCCACTTCCAAGTGTTTTGCAGATGCTTTTTGACTGTGTGCAATACGACGACTGCTTGGTCGGTTTGCAGAAACACACGAAAGCTAGAAGAAATGTGAAGGAGAGAGTTCATTGAAATAAATTAAGAAGTAAATTCTTTGCTAAACTTAAATGTGTTTTTTGTAATCAAAAATTGCTGTTAAGTTTATTATTCATAATCAAAAATTGCTATCCAGCTTATTACTTGTCTGGTAGCAGCAGTTTTTTGAGCGCTGAAGACCATTCGTTGATTTCGTTTCACTGATGTTTGCTGATCCTTTATCGATTTCTTTGTCTTCGTTTTTCTGCAACAATGCCTGTAGTAAGGTGGGAAATATTAACGAACAACAATGTAAGTGTTTCTGTCTCCGGATATTATTTATTTGATTAACATATTTTCTGTATTAATTGATTTTTTTTTTGTATTTTTTGTGTATTAATTTCTTTTCTGTATTAAGATTAAGATATTATTTATTTGATTCATATATGTTGTGCAAAAACCTGCGACTGAAATGCAAAGTAATGATATGATTTTGATTTGATCGCTCATCAGGCTTCTGCTATATTTGTCGTACTGCATCAGGACAGTGCTTACTACTTTTATTTTCTTAACATAGAGAAGTATTCTGGGACAATTACCAAAAGACAAATTTGTTTCTTAAAACTGACTATGTACCAGTTAAATTAAAATTAGTTAAGAAGTTGTATTAGTAACTTCTCTTTCAAGAGACCCCAACATCCATAATTTTTCTCACTTAACAAATTCAGCGTTCACTTTGCAATTTATTTAGTAGTCATAGTACATACTTATGAAGAAACGGCATGATTGCAATCCTCTTTTGATTATTCAAATATGAAAATGATTCAATTCGAAAGTATTCAATTGTTTATATGGCCAAGTTAAATTCTTGTCTCTTATTGAATTTATAAATGCTTGTAAAATTTTACCGCAATATGCAAATTATAATAGCGGTAAAAATTATGGCTTGAATTATTGTATTACATTAGAATTTAATATTGAAAGATGGACATTATAAGAAATTGAAATTTAATTTTCAGAAAGTGAAAGGAAAAATCTTATAATTTTATTAGAACGGAATTGCTAAAACCAAAAGATTGTGATATTTGATGTAAGCTGAAAGTGTAGGAAATATGAAAAATTCTTAATAGAAATTTGCATATACTGAAAAACTTCATTCTTCGATTATCACATATAAGAAGTCAAGAAAGAACAAACAAATGATGAAGGAACATTAATTTCAATTCAGAAAGAACGAATGACATTATCCGGTCAAGTTTATGTTACATTTTCAATAGTCCATCTAACGCTGCATTTTAGCAATGTGCTAGCAAAGGTCAGGATTAAATAGTCAATATCAGATATTCTGTATTTTCGATATTAAACTATTTTAAGAAAACATTAGGTCATACTTTATGTCGTATGTTGAGCTAATTACTTTGATCCATTATTTAATCAGACTATCAGTAGTGGCTGAAACAGAGTGATTTCTTAAAAAATTAATACAATATTTGTGAAGTATGCTATAATATGAAATGAAAGGTGATTTTTAAATAAAATTTATCCAGAAAATAATTGGAACAAAAATTAACAAAATATGTAATTAAGCAAATCCAATCAGTCAAAAAGTGTGAAACAAATGTATAGCTTATGAATAAATTTTAATAATTTAAATACATCTCCTAAATTACATTTTGATATAAATTTCAATATCAGCAAACAGGTGCAGGATGCGCAATGTTTATGGACTGCGTGGTCACCATGTACCGTAACTTGCATAAGTCGTGGGTCAAGCTCAGTTTATTCCCAGCAATGGCAACAATTTATTTGCAAGAATATGAACAATTTGAACAATAATTCTTTCATTACTACGGCAAAATTTCGTTCTTGCACTCATATAGTACGGCATTCTTTGCAATATTTCTGTATTGAAATTCAAACAAATAAATTATTCCTGAAGTAGCCGGAAGGAGGAATCTTTACTGAAATCGTTTCGCTCTAAATTCTTAGTTTCAGCTCTATAGTAATGCATAAAGCTAACTGATTCTCTTTCGATTGAGAAATCAATTTAAAAAAAAAAAAAAACCGATTATGGTAACTTTTCCTGCTCAACTTATACACCAAAAAATCAGTTAGTATCATTTTTCATTACGCACGATCTTTGCAGATACCTCTGTGTTTATCGGATGAAGGCTTTTCGATAGCATTCCAGAACTATTACTTTTTGGCAATATTTTTAGTTTGCATATTACTAGCATTTCTGCCAAATATGATTCTTGGTTTACGTTACACGCGAGTTTGGATTTGCAAAAGTCGAAAATCTGGAGAAGAAAGTGAACGATCTGTGATGTCATTCAGTGAAGCAGCTGCTGATAATTTCATGTTGAATTGAGCCTGAAAATTTCATTGGCGGAACCAAGGACTTTGGTCAATAAAAGGTTAAGAAGCAGATAGGATTTCCGATACTTAAATTATCAAACAAACTTCGTTTACCATATCGCTATCACATTCAGAGTAAAATAGAAATGTTGCTTTGTCGTCAGCGAAAAATAGCTATCACACAGTTTACATATGGAATTTTTGCACTCAATGATTATCTTGTACGTGATAAGCGATAGAAATTGAAAGCGAAAATTCTGAAAGACAAAAGTAAACAGTAGAAAGCTTTCCACTTCCATCGAGAGATAAACAATGTCTGAGAATGGAAGAACCATCGATATGTTCGATTCCTATCGTAGCTGTACAAATTTCAGAATTTTCGAGAAATTTCTTGAATCAAAAAAAGTCTGATATCCATTCTAACCAAATAATTAATTTTTGATTTATTTTTATAAATCATTTGTTGTGTACGATATTTACTCTTACCCTTTTCATCGAATCAATTTTGCTTCCATTTAGCACTTGACTAGTTTTTGATTTCAATAACTTTAAAAGTAATTGCTACCTATGAAGCCAACCATGTTTGATTGTTCTTTTCACAGCTCAAATGATAAATGTTTAAAAAAAAAAAACGTTCAATTAAATAAACTGTGTAACAGATACCTTACTAAAATCGAAATAATAAAAGATGATAGTATTTAAAAAATTATTTCGTATTGTATGACGTGGATTTTTTTTTATTCATTAATACGTTCAACAAATATATGAAAAAAAAAAACAGACACTTAGACAAATTAGAGCAACGAGCAATGAGAAGTAGAAAAAAAAGCGCATCTAAGTCGTCTCTCTAAAGCACTACAGCAGATATTACGAAGGGATGTGGAAATTCAGTATAATAGGACATAATTATAATTGGAATAATAATAATTGAAAATAAACAAATTGGTGATCCAACTATTAATTCTTAAAAAACCTGGATGAAAATGATTGAAGTCAAGAATGAAACGGTGACCAGAAAGGATTTAGGCAGGACCATCAACTTTTATGACCGCATTTTGATGATCATTTTAGATCATATTAGGTGTAGCAATACAGAAAAATCAACATTTAACTATAAGGCACTTGAATGATCATCAGAAATCTGCTTTTTTTTTACAATGGATGATATGATACAGTATTGTTTCGAGCAAAAATTTGATGAAAAAAAAGAAACGAAATAAAAATTTATCATAGTAATAGATTACAGTTTTAAAATTTAAAGCTGATCTAATAATTCTAAGAAATAGCAAAATGATTAAAAATATTATCATTTTTTGTAAGAACTTTTAGTTGTTTGATTATAGTAATCAAAATAACAAACTATTTTATAGCACAGTTACAGTATTACAAATAAAAATGGAAGAAAAAAAACACATAAATGGAAGAAAATTAGAAATGGAATGAGGATTTTAGGCACAACAGCAGCAGCACAAAGGGTTTCTACAAATGTAAACTTTCATTAAAGTGATTAATTATTAGCTTTTAATTTCCAATATTTTTCTTTTGGCACATCAACAAGTGTAAACTTAACACTTTCAAAACAAGCAGGTGATTTTTTCCTGCACAAAACCGTTTTGTGGAAACCCGAAATCATATATAAGCTTGGGAAAAGCCCCAAAATGATGCAAATGAATTAATACCAACATTTGACATACTTAACGTATAATATATCGTTATTTGAAAAGTTAATTCAATGAATAATATCACATCATTTCTGCGTACAAGACTGAGCACAACATAACCTTCTCCTGGAAAAATTATGGAATCGTTTGAAGAAATATTTTTCAGTGAAGATTCCGCTTTTTCCTGCATTTTTGAAGATTAAAAATTTAATAATGAGCGAAAAAAGAAAGCAATCGGAAAGAATCAGGAAATGAATTTATCATATTTTACTTCTCATAATAAGTTTAAATTCCCGAAAATAGCGAAGAAATGAGGAATTGGATAGCGATCGCATCAAGGCTGAAAAATTTTCTCAATCCCACATCAAACTATTTTATAAGTGACATTCAAATTAATTATTGGTACTATCCTTTATTATTATTTCCGTAAGTTATAGCAATTTAAAAATGTTAAAATTTTCGTTGAAGAATGATTGTAATGTGGCAAGGTGGGGCGCAAAAGTGAAGTAAGGGATTGGAGAGCGCGGACAAAGTGTAATAAAAATGTCTTCTTCTTAAAACAGAAATGAGATCAGGAAAAAATACAATTTGTGAAAATTTTAAAGTCAACAACTAGAGTGGCTGAGGAATTAGGAAATAATGAAGAGAGAGACAGATAAGAAAAACATATGAAAATGATCCATTTTTCATTCTACATTCAAATTAACCGATCATGTTCATCTATTCTAAATATTTATTAACAAAAATTAAGTGATAGGTTCGATTTTTTTACTAGTGTGATTTACCAAGCTTTCTAAAATTATACTTTTTTTTCAGCAAAATATTCTTAATTTAAATTCTCACAACAATCATGATATCTGATGCATTCATCATCCTATGCAAAAATTCCATCATATTCAGTATTAACTTGGTCACATTTACATATTTTATTGTAGGCGCAAAATTCAATTCTTCCATCTCATCAGATGGCTATCATTTATTTTACTTTAGTCATTTGCAAAAAAAAATACATTAAAAAAAAGATGAAAAATGAGAAAACTGAGACATGTTTGATTTAAAAAATAACAAATGAAAGAAGGCATAAGGCCATATAGAAAAAAGAAAAAAAGAAAAAGAGCATTGAGGATTTCCATAAAGTATCAAAAATTAGTTATCAAATTTTTCAAAAAAAAGGTTTAAAAAATGCAAAGTTCACAGCGCTAGTATAAGATGCATTCATTCATTCAATAAATAAAATTTAATAAAATTTGTTATAGGATGAAAGTAATTTGGCCTTTTTGCTTTTTTTAGCTAATGATTACTTTTTTAAAGTCGATTTCTAATCTATTACACACAGTAGTATAACTCGAGTATTTTAGCTTTATTCACTGAGCAAAATTTTATACTGATGGAGCCTTTTTTTTTGTCGATTTTATGAAACGGAAATGCCTCAAATCATCATCTTCAAATTCAAATCACCAGTCTGCATACGCTTACATTTGGCTCGTCGATTTTTAAACCAAATTTTAACATTGTGCGTCGAGATTGGTGGATAACTTTGTCTATACTGACAACTGTTCAGCGCTTCTGTATAGTGGTCAATCTGAAGTTCTGTGGAATATTCATGCCGATAAGAGTTTAATTGATTTAATTGAAAATAATCATTCGAAATAAGCATCAATTCTTATATTTTTGCGAATCATTATTCAACTTGAAGTTACTGAAGTATTTAAAAATTTTATTTTCAACTGATTATTTCCATTTTTGGACAAAAATGCAATGCGTTCCAACTAAATTTTCAGCTTAATATTTTAAAAATATGGAAAAACAGCAAAGATTTCAACATTTCCGAACAAATACAATTAGCAGACGCGCGAATTTCAGTAATTTTATTTTATTGACAGCTCAAAACAAATGAATTCAACAATTGTAATATTACCATTTTAATTTTACCATGCCGATGTTATTAAATCCCAAATATATCTTGAACAATTTGCTTTCCACAAATGCTAATAACAAACCCGGTGTACGGAAGGAATTTACCTGAAGCCAAGTAGGATGTGGATTTTCTTCAAACCATTTTTCTAGAACTGGCAATTCCGTGAGTGGGTCGAACATTAACCTTGATCGAGCAACTGTATTAGATGGTGTTTGTGCTTGTTGTGGTTGTCCTGTTGCACTGTTACCATTTCCATTACCAATACCTGTCGCCTGTTGATGACCAATAGTTTCACCACCGGTTGGTTTCGGTGATATTGATGCATGACCACCATTTAAATCAAATGATATTTCCGGTGATGAGGTTGCAGAATCCTATTTAACAGGAAAATATTATTCTCTAAAAATTCATATCCTTCAATTGCATCATAAATTTCCAACCTTCAGCACTATTGCAATACTTTAACAAAAAAATAAAGGATTTTATTTGTGACAAAGTCGTCTTCAAATACTATTCGACACCATAAGCTTTTAAGAGAATTGAAACATTTTCTATGACTTACAAAAATTGAACAATAAGAATTACCTGTTTCAATGCAGAAACCTGATCAAAACCACAATCGCTAGCACTATGCACACTGATATCATCATTCGGTGTCGGCGATTCTGAACCTCCTTCGATACGCTGCAAAAATTTCATTTAATTCGAAATTTCAATAGAAGTAGTGAACATACTAATCAAATAATCTTATATTTTATCGTATGTCAGATTAGTGATTTTATTACAATTGCAATTTCAATTTTTCGTATTTTCAAAATATCAAAATTCTTATATTCCGGAAGCTTGTATAAAAATTATATATACATAATCAAACTTTAACTTTAATATTTTATGATTTATGTCAGCCCGTAAGTAACGTAATGTAAATTAATTCAAACATACAATTGACAAAATATTAGCAAAATGCTTACTTCACTACTACTTCCATTAGCTTGCTTGCTATCTAGCAAACTATTAAAATCAAATTTTGGACGGAATTCACCGGATGGACTAGAACGTGACTGGGGTGGAAGTAAAATGGATGATTGAGCCACTGATGGTGGACAATGTGCAACAGTTGTATGATTTGACTGTGGTGATTTCCTGCAAAACAATTAATTAATGATAAAAACTATTAAAGGATATTATCAGAATTAATTCATTAAACTTTTCCAATAAACTTCATTCAAAAAATTCAAGCATTTCGTTGCAAACAAAATATTTATCCATTTTTTTTTAAATGGGTCTGCAACGTGAATCAATATGCTAAACTAGATTTTACAAAATTTTGTTCATTTCGTAGCATAATCAAAATTATTATAATGCATGGATAGCATTCAGAGTAAAATGTTCTGCGAATTATCACTTCTCATCACATTAAGTGCTTAACAATTCTTTCAGCTTTTTTTTCACAAAGAGAGATTCAAAAGAATTAAAGTTTTCAAAATTTAATTCCAATTTTAAGAAATGCCTCAGCACATTGAATATTTCAACTTTGAAACCGCTGCACCAATACGAAATGTATGAGTTTTAAGTATAGGTCCCCTATGATCGTATATTAATTTGCATTACTTTTCAATAACTTTTCAATGAATTACATTAAAAAATCAAGCATGTCAAAATGTTCCAAAAAAAAAACAAATTAAATTTGTTAAAAATAATTACTTTCTGTCATTTATTTGACTAATGAATTATAATTTAAACATTTTACAAATTTCTTCAATGTCCACACAAATTAGTGGGTAAAATTTTTCAAAACTTTTAATAACTTTTAATCACTCAAAAATGTAACGTTAGGAAGAAGAATAGCAAACCTATTAGCAGCTCGTTGATTAGCAAACCAGTTACAGATTTGATGATATGTTACTTTAACATTATGCCGCCGATAACTGGAACCATTAAGTACGTTCATATAATTAATCAATTTCTGCCGGGATGGATTGGGATCGGTACGAAACCATCGCTCCAACTTTGGTATTTCCAATAGATGATTGAACCTTGTGATATATGAACTGTAATGATTTCAATTATTTGCTCACTCTTCCATTTATTAAAAATAACTCCAAACCTAATAATTTAATTTTCAATACTGTAAAATAAATCTAAAAAATTCTATTGAAAAACGAAATATTCTTATGTAATTATCTCAATAAGAAAGGTGTGAAAGATAGAAAAATTGGCGTACAATCCCTATTTGATGAAAATTTCAATCAGTTATCTTCAAATGTTATATCGAATATATCTATCTGATTACATATATTTATTCCACTTACCACTTCTAAAAGCCTTACAAATATGTTATTGAAAATTCTATCAATTGTCTGCATTAAATTTAAATTTATTTTAGTTGCCATATTTGATGCTCGGTAGGATTCAGCATTTAAGTGGTCCCTCAACCTCTCAAATCCCTTTTATAATCTCAAATACTCGATAGCATAGACAAAATGGAATGTCGGGAAACGAAGGATAGATGGAAAATGAATATCGCCAATATAAACATCGATAACCATACGGCAATGGATAATCCTATTTGGCTAGAAAGCCATCATCATAAATCCATCCCCAACCTAACCTCGTCCTTCTTCGTGATTTTATAAGTTTACACAAACTGCTCACTTCATAACAGTACATTTTAGAATTCAATTTAACATTTACAATTATATCAAATTTGATTCATTTGCTACAGGAATGCCTGCATAATTAAGCTTCTTAACCAAATGACGTATGAAATTGATAAAAATAATGATTAATCATTTCATAAACAATAATAATCAGCTATTTATGTCTTGTCATTTTATCTTCCATGCATTAGCTAATCAAGTACAGCATTAATTATTTATTCATTTAATGTTTGTTTATTTGTTTTATCAATTGCAAATTTGCATCAATAAAAAAATTCATTCCACATTTGTCACTACTGATTAATTTCAATTCAAAAATAAATATTAGAGAAAAAGCTTTCGCTAAATCTCTCTTCTATCCATAAACTTTTTGCAAGGTTATAAGAACTGGTTCTTATCGTTTATCGGCAAATTACGCTGTGATGTTTACATGACTTGCAATTCCTCGAATCTTTCTTTTTTTTCTTAACCTTCTCTCTTCCCTTTCTTACTTTACAATCTATGCCCATGTCTCTTACCCTCTCTCTCTCTCTCTCTCTCTCTCTCTCCGCCTCTTCTTAATTTTAATGGCTATCAGAAATTTTGTTTGTGTTTCTTCTATTGGTAAAATTTGGCATTATATTGATAGGAAGTAATTTACTGCCGTCAGCGTTAAATCAAAAGAGATTGCTCTGTGATCAGCTATCTCGTTAAGTTGGATCACCTTTACGACGGAATCGCGACTCCTCACTTTCATATTTTTCATTTTGCTCGAACCCCGCTGGTTAACTCTTTTTATTGCAACGTAAATAAATGATGACGACAGGGCACAACGAAAGGACGATGAAAGTAGACGACAAAGAGCTGCTCATCGAGCAAGTTTTAATCAACTCTCTTCAGGTGATTATAAATATTGTGCAAGTTGCCCTAAAGGAAAGGAAGGAAGACGATGAAATTTAAATGATGAAGAGAGAGGTTAATTGAGTAATTTGATCATGCTGGAGTGCTTTTTACTTTGTCAACAACTACCATATTGTCTGATTTGTTATCAGTGCTGAAAAGATCCACAAAAATTTGATAATAACTTGTAGGAAGTCAATTTATATAGATGGCTTATCAGTTAACAGTTAGATTTCCCAGACAAAAGAAAAAAAAAGAAGAAACAGCTTCAAATATCACTAATAATTACATGCATTTGATTGCTTATCTTTCGCTCATCATAGCTTTTCAATCGATTTGTAGTTTCGTTATTTTTTAAATTTCAATGCTGAAGTTCGAATTTTGCTAAACCAACACTAAATCTTTTACTGAATCTTAAACCTAGAATTCGGTGTGACCTCAATTATGTTCGCAAATAATGCATATCATTTTTCATTCGGCTTATATTTTTTTGTAATTTTGATGTAGGCTGAAGAAATAATTGATTTCTATTATTTTTTGCCTTCACAAATTTTTATAATTTAATGCTTATCATGCGATATTCGAATTACGCAAACTGGATTGCTAAGAAGCAATCAAAGGAAGAATTAAATCGGACAAGTTTATAATGGAACCGGTTCTTGATCCTCAATTCATATCAAGATTTTGCTTTTTATCTTAATTTCTTTAATAACTTTTCTAATGCTGCTTTGAAAGGGATTTGTACAAGTTTCAAAATCCCTCATACCTCAACAAATATATCATAAACTGTTAATTTCTATTTATGAATTCTATATTTTCAAATCCAAATTTCTAGAAATAAATTTATGATGATTAAAAGAATAATCAAAATCACTCTGCAATAAGGTTAAATTCAATATATATATACATGTATTTTTTAAATGTAGCAAACTAAAAATTCCAATTGGAGAAATGATCATTCTGGAGAATACTTGGAAAAAAGAGCCGCCCTTTTATATTCAATACATTCTCGAAATTACAATAAAATCATGCGATCGGTGAAATATGGAGAGAAGAGAAGATAGAACAAATTAAGCAAACTAACAGCAGCAAACTATCATTCCATAACTTTTCAAAATTTGTTCAAACAAATTCGTTTGTGATTTTAGTGTTAATGATAATGATGATGATAGTGATGGATGGATGGATGGATGGATGTGATGCATAAATTTGTACTTTTTGTCTCTTTCTCTCTTTCTCTTTCTCTATGGATGATGAGGAATGGTTGGTTGTAGAAATAATATATGAGAATAGAAGTATTGCAAAAAGCTCAGAGAGCTACTAATTCACCGTCAATCAACTCCACACAACATTCAAATCAACAAAACAAAACTGTTTTTTTGTATTGGTCTATAAGAAGAAGAAAAAACTGCGTTATTTTCTTGATGGAATGTTTTCTTGAAAATTATTTAAATTTAGTAATTTAATCATTAAAATTATAAAAAAGGAAAAAAAAACAAAGATGAATATTAAAAGATATTATTAAGATTAGTTAAATTGAATAATAGTACCTAACATTATATTTCGGATCACATATTATTCACTAGGGGAATATTTCCGAATATATTTAGCTTCATTTTAATTTTATCATTTTTGCGTTATCATAATTTGACAAAATAAAGAGGAATTAAATTAAGCAATTAAATTTGTGGCTTATTAAGATGAATAGATTGCGCATGGCGCATATATCCGAAGGTAGAAGAATTCTTTTACTTCCCTTTCTAATTCTAAATCACCTAAGTACACAACAAATGCTCTCTCTGCCTCTCTCTCATCATCATCAATAGTTCGTTAAGCTTTAGCTCTCACAAAGAGCTATTCAACCAGTAAGCAAGCTATCTTAAGCTTAAACATTCCGAACACAATTCACCAATAGTTAAATCCTAAATGCATACTGTAAAAAAAGACAGAAAAATATCCTTCCAACCAAAATTTTGAATTATTTTCATTCATTAAACTTTCTCAAATTCTCTCCCTCTTTCCTTCTTCCTTTTCTCTCTCCCTCTTCCTCTGCTGTTCCATCTCTTTAATCAACTACTATTAAAAATGCACTGGTAGAAATAAAAAAACAAGAAAAATTAATGAATTCGATATGTTTTTGTATGAATTAAATAATTTAAACGTATTTGCAAAATATGACTGTTTCGTGATTAATGGAAAAATTAGAATCCTTTCATACAATTTCATATTTTAATATATTTTAATCTTTGATTTCTTAGTTGATCCCTTTTTCATCGCTACTTCATTTAATATATATTGCATCCTTATTAGCTTTTTTCTTTAAAGAGAGCATGAATCATTCTGACGAAATTATTCAAAAAATTGTCAAATATGAATAGTAAGCCAGCTGCGTTGAGATTTGCGACGATCGCTAATTCCTATATTTATATATATATTTCTTCATTCATAATTTCATATTTTAGTTAAATCTCTTCAACAGTTCAGTTTTTACTAAGGAATGTAGTAAGCCTTGGCGATCGTTAGAACCGGAAACAGCTGCAAAAATATGACAGTATGCGGACATTTGCATGAGATTATGATGCATAAATTGCTTAAAATGCATAATATCTGCTATGGAAATGACTATTTTTGAACGTTAAAATTAAAAAAGTAAAAAATGACAATGAAACAATTAATTAAGAGACTTAAAATTTTTAAAAAAAATAGTATTTCTCTGATATTAAAAAAAAATGAATAACAGATTAATGATTTCATTAAAATTATTCTTGGAAATAATCAATGTATATTCTCATGTAACACAGAAAAAAACTCAAATTACTGATTATCATGAAAGTTGTAAAAAATTTCGCAAAATGAAATTTTTTTTCTCAAGAGACAATTAGGCATATTTTGAAATTTTTCAGTTCCTCAAGTGACAGAGATGCTGAATGAATTTTCATGAACTATGACTCGTTGAAAAATAAACATCTGAAAAAATGACCCATTTGAAAACAAACTTTTTGATATTTAAAAGTCTTTGAAATCAATTTCTCTTGAAGACTCCTTTTTTGCTTAATAAGCGAATATTTATGATTGAATGCAAAACAATAACTTATTGTAACTTTCCGAAAGTGCATCATAAAAATTTCACAAGCTTATTTTAATATAAAAAGATAAAGTCTTCTTTGATAAGAATAAAGCTTAACTGTGAAAATGATCCTGACTGGCAGATAAATTACTGATATAGCAAAAAAGTATTTTCTTATCGGAGAGTAAATCGTGTCAAGCAAGGAGGCTCTAATGGTTGATAAGAAAATATCATTTTCGGATAGTACGCCAATAGCCCATCTTTAAGCGTATAAATGTTTGGAGTAGTAAAAATATAACCTTTTTCGATCGGTGTGATTATCATCCAACTGTTCCAACCATTCATTAATCGCCTGGATTTGATCAAAATTGAGCATTGATGGTTCATCACCGGCTACTACTTGTAATATCAGATCCTGAAATGATAAAACTTGAATGATAAATGATGAGAAGAGGATTCTGAAACTGAAAACTAAAATTTTTAGCATTAATCAGATGAAAAATAAACAAGCACATTGAAACTGACTTCATCAATAAAAATAAACATTTTTAAGCAAAATCTCTAAACATTTACAATTTGTCAGGAACGAATTACTTATCAATGAAATGAAACTGAATGCTTTTACAGTTGCAAAAAAAAAACTTGTTTATGAGCATTAATTAACCTTAATTTGTTGATTATCAACAGTGGAAAGGATGTGTGGTTGCTTTGAAATGGCTGCTTTGAGAAGACGTTGCCTGAGATCAGATATACACTGTGAACTCGACGCATCTGTTGACGATCTGAAGTATATACATTTGTTTTTTTTTTTTTGATTTAATCATTAATTACTTGCAAAATTTCATATCTTTTATTTTATAATACTCTATTTCTTGAGTATAAAATTTAGGATCATGAAAATAAAATTTAACCTATATGCGCAATTACAACTTAACAAACTTGTAAGAATCACTTTTAATTTTATTTTTTATTGAATTTAAAATAAAGTATCACATAATTTCCTACAATAATGATGTTAAAATGATGAATAATTCAATTTTTTTTAAATTTCTTAAAAATTTAAACTTCTAAACTTTAAAAATACTTCAGTAATATTTAAAATCGAAATAAATTTTTAGAATCTTTTTTCTAGCTATTTTTCATATTTCTAGTTATTTTGATATGTTTGTTTGTTTTTTGAATTTCAATGATTGCCATCAAAGAGCTATGGAGATTTTCGAATGGTCGATAATTACCGGGAATTTCTCGGAACTTTCACAATACCATTAAGCAGGAAACAGTATAAATGTATTTCTCTTTTTATATGATCATAACAAAGAATTCAATGATTGTATGCTAACGCAAGGATGGAAATGAATGACTGACTGACTGACTGACTGACTGACTGAATGAATGAATGAATGAATGAATGAATGAATGAAT